CTGGCTGTTCTTGCAGAAGACCTAGGTTCAAATCTCAGCACCTACATGGCCGCTAACAACCGTCCATAGCTCCAGTTCCAGGGGATCTGACAGCCTCTTCTCCTCTGCAGGCATTGCATGACACAGGTGTGCTTACCTACATGCAGGAAATATATGCATACACATAAAATAAAAATAATAAATAAAATACTAAAAAAAAGTCATTCGGTGATTGTATTTTTTCTTTGTCTTTTTGAGACAGGGTCTCCCTGTAGCCCCAGCTGGCCTAGAACTCAGTATGTAGACCAGGCTGGCCTTAAATTCACAGAGCTCTGCCTGCCTCTGCCTCCCAAGAACTGGATTAAAGGCATGTGCCACCATGCCTGGCCTGTATCTTTTTTTTTTTTGAGACAAGGGCTCAGGTAGCCCAGGCTGGCCTTGGACTCACTATGTAGTCAAAGATGACCTTGAACTTCCTGATCTTACTCCTGCTGCCTCCTGAGTGCTGTAATTATAGTCATTAACTATAACTGGTTTCATGTAGTGTTGAGGATTAAACTCAGGGCTCCATGCATGCTAAGCAAGCACTCTAGCAACTGAACTCTCTCCCCAGACTGTATTTTTAGTTCTGAGACACCCTCTTAGTTTCACAGGAAATGTAACAGGTTCTGAGAAATTCAACATCTTAAGTGTGAATTAGTAAGCACCTGACCCTGATTTCTTGCCTCTAAGGCCAAGATTTTTTTTTTGTATTATGGTGGATTGAGCCCAGGGCCTCATGATACTATGTAAATACTCTACTACTACCCTATTTTTATTTTGAGACATGGTCTCAGTTGTCAAGGCTGGCCTTATTCTCTTTGTAACCAAGGCAGGCCTTGAGATTTTTTTTTTTTTTTTTTTTTTTTTTTTTTTTTTTTTTTTTGTCTTTTTGAGACAGGGTCTCCCTGTAGCCCCAGCTGTCCTGGAACTCACTATATAGCCCAGGCTGGCCTCGAACTCACAAAGATCTGCCTGCCTCTGCCTCCCAAGTGCTGGGATTACAGGCGTGTGCCACCACACCTGGCCAAATTTTTAAAAATTAATTTTTATGTGTATGAGTGTTTTGCCTGCATGTATGAAAGTGTACCCGTGCATACAACGCAGGCAGAGGCTGGAAGTGGGTGTTGGATCCCCTGCAGTTGGAGTTACAGATGACTACTAACTGCCATATGGGTGGTGCTTAACCGCTGAGCCACCTCTCTAACCCGGATCCCACTGCCTCAGCCTCTAAAGTAGCTGGGATTACAGGCCTGCTTCATTAGGCCAAGCAAGACCAAGGCTTTCTGTATCAAACTGGTAATGCACTCATACTCCGACAGGAATAATGTGGTGGCTAAAGGGAACTATCTATTTACTTCAGAAAGAAGCTCTATAAAGCATGCTTTACATTTCTCTTTCCTGTTTGTCTTCTTAAGGAAAAAAATGAGCAGGAGGTGGCTTAGACAGAAATGACCGAGCCCGAGTGATTAATATTGACTACAGAAGTGTTTTTTTTTTTTTTTTTTTTTTTTTTTTGTCTTTTTGAGACAGGGTCTCCCTGTAGTCCCTCCCAGCTGTCCTGGAACTCACTATATAGACCAGGCTGGCCTTGAACTCACAGAGATCCGCCTGCCTCTGCCTCCCAAGTGCTGGGACTACAGGTGTCCGCCACCACGCCTGGCCCTATAGAAGTGTTTTATGTGGCCTATATAAGATTGTTTATTTTTGTGAAACTAGGGGTGAAATTCAAGGTTATATACAAGGAAAGAATGTGCTCTACCACTGAATCATATCTCCAGTTTTATACTTTGGTGCGTGTGTGTGTGTGTGTGTGTGTGTGTGTGTGTGTGTGTGTGTGTATGTAGCAGAAGACCTCTACTGTGGTTTTTTTTGAGGTAAGATTTCTCATTGGCCTGGAGTTTGCCAAGTAGGCTAGACTGGCAGGCCAGAGAGCCCCAGGGATCCACCTGTCTCCACCTCCCCAGTTCACTGCCATATCAGATCCTCAGGGTTGTATAGCAAGCACTTTATTGACTAAGCCATCTTCCCAGCTAGTTTTATACCTTTAAAATTAGTTGCATGTGCCGGGCGTGGTGGTGCACGCCTTTAATCCCAGCACTCAGGAGGCAGAGGATATCTGTGAGTTCAAGGCCAGCCTGGTTTACATAGTGAGCTCCAAGACAGCTGGGGCTACTGGGAAACCCTGTCTCAAAAAGACCAAAAAAAAAAAAAAAAATTAGTTGCATGTAAGGAATAGAACAAGAACAAGAGACAGTTAATTGCAAAACCCTTAAAAAAGGAATATGTGGGCTGGAGAGATGGCTCAGTGGTTAAGAGCACTGGTTGCTTTTGCAGAGGACCTGGGTTTGATTCCCAGCACCCACATGGTAGCTAACAACCTTCTATAACTCCACATTACCTACTTGTTCACTGCCATTTGAGTTTGAGATCCTGACTCAGAGTAGATCTATAGAATCAAAATTGGGGTTTGACTTCTGTTCTGGCCAATTTTCCAGCATACAGCGTCACTCAGTGAATAGCTGAGTGATCAAATGAACTAACTCATGCCAGCAAGCTTTGACTAAGTACCTACTGTGTGTAGGGTGTATGTCTCAGAAATGACCTTTCAAAACTCACAATCACAATTACAGGGGGAGGGGCAGATATTTATGTTCTAACTGGCTGCAGACTGATTTTTTTTTTTTTGTCTTTTTGAGACAGGGTCTCCCTGTGGCCCCAGCTGGCCTGGAACTCACCATGTAGACCAGGCTGGCCTTGAACTCACAGAGATCAGCCTGCCTCTGCCTTCTGAGTGCTGGGTCTAAAGGCCTGTGACATCATATTTGGCTAGAAGTTTATTTTCTTTTTTAATCAATTAACTGTGGGAAGCATGTGTGGAGGTTAGAGGATAACTTGTGTCAATCAATTCTTTCATTCTGCTATGTGGGGTCCAGGCATTGAACTCAGGTCATCAGGCTTGGTGATACTGCTCCTTTACCCACTGAACCGTATTGCCAGCCCTAGGTTTCAGGCTCACAGTTCAGGCTTAAGGATTTCTAAGGAGACATTCAACATTATCTGGAATAACAAGAGGCCAGCTGTATTGGCCAGGATAAGGAGGGTTTCAGGTAGAAGCAGAAACACATACAGAGGATATGAAGTGCTGTTTGGTATGTTTGGGAAAAAACCTTGGAAGGAAGGCTGTATGTGGGAGGCATAGCTCTGCTGTAGCATGCTATTTAGTGTGTGTGAGGATCTAGGTTTGACACTCTGCATTGCAAATAGGCTAACACACACACACACACACACACACACACACACACACACACACACAAATAAGACCAAAACAAAACAAAAAGGCCAGTGTGATGGGAATTTAAGATGGAGTGTGGAGAGTAGTAGATGACGTCCAACATGTATTTTTATATCAACAGCCTAGCCCTTAAGCCAGGCAGCTGTTGGGCAAATCCGTGTCCTGGTCTTCAAAGGGCTTGCTCAGAAGAGGAGCTGGTTTATCACTGTCAGTCAGAGGAGGGACGGGTCCCAATCCAGTCTCCTGCCTCCAGTGCCAAGGACAGGGTAGGGCACAGAGGTTTCAGTAAAGATTTGCTGACAGTAAGCTTGAGAAAAGAACAGGAAGTGTAGGCTTTGTTAAAGGAAGCGCTCTCTTCATTGGGGCACTTATTCTCAAGTCACTGCCGCCTCCTCTAACGGACTCAGAGAGATGGGAGGGAGAGTGTGTTGCAGGGAGAGAAGGGCTACAGGCCTTACTCCATAAACCTCAAGAGGGTGGGGCATGGGAAGCAGGTAGGAAAATGGGCTGGAAGAGCTAAGCAAGGGCATCTGATTTAGGTTGGAGGGGCGGAAAGAGCTGTCAGGAAAGCAGGTGGACACTACGCTCTGTGTTTGCAATTTTACGAAGTGGGCTGGACATTCCATTTTGACTTTTTTTTTTTAATAGTGTACAACAGAACATTTAAAAAATATTTTATTTTATGTGTACAAGTGTATTGCCTGCATGAATGTGAGTGCAGCCATGTCGTTTATGTGTACGAGTGTATTGTCTGCATGTATGTATGTGAGTGCACCCCTGTCGTGCAACGCCGTGGATGTCAGAAAAGGGCTTCGGATTCCTCTGGAGCTGGAGTTAAGGACGGTTGGTAGCTGCCATGTGGGTGCTGGGAACCGAACCCGGGTCCTCTGCAAGAGCAGTCAGTGCTCTTAACCTCTGAGCCATCTCTCCAGTCCCTCCATTTTGCTTTTTGTCAATTTCTTATAAACCAATTTTACCCAATGGGCCTCACTCTTGGCCCAGCCTTAAACCTCTCCAAAGGGGCAGGGCCTCACAGGAGCTGGTCCTTCCTGCAGTACTTAGATTTGACCACCAGGGGCCGCTGTGCCAGGGCTCGGGGCCGCGCGGGTTCCAAAGCCGCATAGAGCTGGGAGCCCGTTGGTTGTGAGGCAGGTCGAGAGGGCGGAGCCTCGGAGTCCGGAGTTGGGGGCTGGGAGTGTGCCCCAGGGCTAAACCCCGCAGGACAGTGGTCACCTCAGGTGGCTCCCGGGCGGTTTTCGTAGTGCTGGGGCCTCGGTTCAACCTGGCTTTGCAGCTGAGTCTGGGGAGCAGCGCCGCGGCCCGGCCATCCGGGCGGTGCCGTAGCTGTCACCGCCGCTGCAGGCCCGAGTTACCTGAGCAACTGCATGTTGGGGGCCCGCCCGCGGGCGGGCGGTTAGGACGGGAGGCTGGGTTGAGGCCGGGGCGAGGCCGAGGCCTGTTCCTGGGGTCCTGACGGAGACCGGCGTAGGCCGGGACCTCGGGACACTCCTCGAAGCGCGGGGTGCTCGAGTCAGCCCCCTCTAACAGGTTATTCCGGGATAAGCTGGCTCCGGGGCGGGCCCGGGCTCCGCTGGGGGCCCGGCGGCGCGGGGCGGGCCTGCTGGAGAGCACGCCTCCGCCCACCTCGGGCCCGCCCCGCGCCGCGCTCCCGCCCGCTCGGGAGCCGCTGTCCCGGGCCTGGACCGTGTGCGTCCGCCTTCTGGATCAGGGCTCCGGGGGCAGCCGAGGCGCGAGGCTGCGCGGGGGCGCTGACCTCGGCCTTGGGGGGGGGGCGTCTCGGGATCCCGGAGATATCCGTGTCCGCCCGGGCCTGCCAGGGGCAGGCCGAAGCTCGAACTTCTGCCGCTCTGCGGGTCGAGGTCAGGTGCCCCGCTTCTCTCCTCCCTTCTCGCCCTCCCCCACCTCCGTGCGGGCGGGACATCTGCCCGCCCCCTCCCGTAGGGGTGTAGCAGGCTGCGGCGCTGACAGCGGCCCGGCAGCCACCCTGCCCAAACTCTCCGGAAGCAGCTAGAGCTCAGGCCGCCGCAGCCGGGGAGGACCCACTGCGCGAGCGGAGGCGCCGGCCCTTGTGCTCCCAAACTTGGAGCACTTGACCTTTGGCTGCGGGAGGAGGCAAGCCCGCAGGTGGCTGGACAACTGCGGCGCCGCGAGGGCATCGTGCCTGGGAACCGGCTGCTTCACTCTATCCGGCTCAGGGATTTGCTGGTGGGATCTCAAGGTGTCTACATCGGGCGCATGGTGACTGAGACCTAGAGCCATGGATGTGTGCGCCCGTCTTGCTGTGTGGCTTCTCTGGGGGCTCCTCCTGCATCAGGGCCAGAGCCTCAGCCACGGTCCTAGCGAGAAGACGGCAGGAGCCGGCGCGGGAGCGACTTCCGAAGAGTCCACTGAAGCAGGTAAGGCCTTGCTGCGGGCTGGTCGGGGCTCGGGGCTGGACAGACTCAGAACTGAGTGGCCTGAAGTGGGCGAGTTGCAGTCTCGGTTCGCACCTGTGAGGTTGGTGGAGGATTCGCACATGGCACTGCGTAGTCCCAGTAGTCCAAGAAGTTCTTTCTGTTCAGCAGTTAGGGCTGATATTACCATCTCCCCTGAGCAACTTTCCTCATTCCTCCTCCGGATGTCTTGTTGAAAGTGAGAAGCCTTTGGGGCCGCCTTAACCTTTCAGATCAGCAAGGTAAGACCCCCCCCCCCCCTTCAGGACTCCTTGTCTGGAAGAATGGTCTTCCCAGACGATAAATTCAGTGCTTTTAGTCAGCTTCTTCCTAAGTGGAGGATTGAGGCCACTTGGGATGGGCAGGGAAGATCAGGGCTGGCAGGCTCTGTGTTCAGGTGTGTCCTTCTGTTCTAACCACCGAGAGGGAGAACCCTAGTCTCTCCCTTCCCTTAGAGAATTTGCTGTCTTTTGCCTGTGTGCCCTATGTGAAATATCAAGGCAAGTCCTTAGATGGAATTCCTATTTACCACTGGGAAGTTAAGTGGCCTTTTCTTGACTTCAGCATAATAAAATTCCTGGGATCACTTGTTGACTTACTCTGTTTCTTCTGACTGATGAGAGTGGGGGTTCCATGTTCTTACTGTTATTATTTTTAATCTGTCCTGATTTCCCTGTACACTTGGGGAGATTTTTCTGGCAGCAGGAGCTGTGGTGTCCTCTTGCAGTAGAAAGGAACCTTTAAAAAAATACAATAATTTTACATAAAGCTTAGAGATAGATCAGTTCTCTTTTCCCAGTCTCTCACCCTCTCACGTTGATCTGCCCAAAGCTGTGGCCTAAAGGATACAGAGCAGAGGTATAGCTGGGTGTTTTGAGGATGGGCAAACTAAAATGGCTCAGTGGGTATTTGCTGATACAAGCAGGAAAAGAAAATATAAGTCATGGTGGGTGAGGAGTTTTATGAATGGCATCTTGGGCTGCCCCCTTTTACTTTTTGTGACTGGGCTGGGTATATGTCTAGGTACTTCTTGGGCTGCTTTTTAAATGAGGCCAGGACTGCCCCATGTACGAGCATGGTATTTGGGCTGTTTCTTTAAAGGTAGGTCATTCCTGCAAGTGAATTCTGCATCTTCATAGGAAGTTTCCCAGGCTCCCAGAGCTTGGCGCAAATAGTGTTTCTTACTGGGCTGTGAAAGGAAAGATTTGCTGAACTGTGAAGTAACCCTGAATAGCATTTCTGGGGTCCCAGTGACGTCCTTGTTTATAATTGATAATATATCCCGTTTTTTTCCACTTCAGAATATTGGTGTGTATGATAGATAACATGAATCCTTTTGAGAGAGAGGTATTCTGTACTTTAGATCTGAGCTAAAAGAACGTTTTGAGTTTAGGAAAATGATTTTTGGACCAAGTTAGAGAGGCATTCTAGCTTCTCTCAGGAATACCTCATGACTTGAGTTATGGAGATAGCCCCTGCCCTCACATATCATATTTGAGCACTTGCTCTTCAGATTATGCCACAAAGGGCTCTCTTTTCATCACTATTTCCTCTCAGTGCAGAAATTGGCTTTCGTTGTCATAGTAATTATATTCTAGGGAGAGTCTTAGAGAGACTCTAGGTATTGTAAATGCCTATGGTTTGTGTGGGAAAATGGGTGTCCCATCACTATAATTCTAGTAGGTTGTCTTCTTGGGGCTCTCTGGACTTTTGCTCAGGGAGGGACTTAATTTTGCAAACAGGTGGCTCATAGACTGCTCTGCAAATGTTTCAGGGAGAAGCTTTCTATATAGCCAGGAACTCTTGTAGCCTTTCCAACCCCTCTGTGCCTTGAGAACACAGGAATTTTTATTTTCTGCTAAAGCTCTTTCTATCTCTCTTCCTCTCTTCCTTTCTTTCAAGACAATGTCTTTATAGCCTAGGTTGGCCTCAGACTTGCTATATACTGAAGCTGGCCTTGAACTCTTGATCCTCCTGCCTCCACCTCTCAAGTGCTGGGATTACAAGCATGAGACACTATACCCAGCTAGCTACCAATTTTTTTCAATCAGAGTCAACATACCTGGCAAATCTAGGTTTTTTACAGTTTGTAATATACAATTATTCTGCAAAGTGACATAGTAGCCCTGTTAAAATGCAGGAAAGGATAATAAATTTCCATTTTTGCATGTGAAGAAACAGGGTTCTGGGGCCAGTAAGATGGCTCAGTGAATAAAAGTGCCTACCATGCAAGTTTGGTGACCAGAGTTCATGCCCTGGAACCCCCATAAAGGTGGAAGGAAAGAACTGACTCCACAAAGTGGTCCCTGACTTTCACATGGGCGTCATAGTACATGTACCCCTCTACCCACTAAGAAAAAAAACCTGAACAAACCTGGGTTCTGTGCTTTGTCTTTGAGACAGGTGTTCTGATGCTTAAGTCCTGGACTTCTTCCATCTTCTCAGGTCCTGTCCTGTTAAGTGAGTGCTAGGTGGGGCCTAGAGAATGTTGTTCTCCTTCTGGCAATTAGGCAGAGTCTGGTGACTCTGTATCTGAGATCCAAGACTAGGGGTGCTTTTCCTCTTCTGGAGAGTGTGTTGATGAAAGAATTCCATTTTTCTCCTTTGGGATGTGTGCGTGTGCGTGTGTGAGTGTGTGCGCATGCACGTGCGTGATATATAAAATCTCTTTTTAGTAATCAAATTTGATTCTAAGAAGGATTTAATTAAAATGCTTATAGTGCAGTGGGGTGGGAGAGCTTGGTTAGTATGTTAAGCCCTAGGTTCAATCCCCAGCACCACTTAAAAAAGTAAAACAAAGAAGTACTTAATGATTTTCTCATCTTTTCCATGCATATACCAAGCACTATTAAAACTCTGACCGTGGGGGCTGAGGCTATATTGATAGCTTAGTTGATAGAGTGCTTACCTTGCATGCATGATGTCATGCGTTTGACCCCCCACAGCAAAACCAAACAAAACAGAAAAACCCAAACCCCTAACCCCTCTAAACCCTGAGCTTGCAGTGAAGGCAGGTACTCTGCTAGTAGCTTCTTTCATTGGGGAGCAGAGAGGCCATTCCTGTTGCTCTCTGCCCCCCCTCCCGCCCCCACTATCTGAACACCCAGCTGTACTGTCACTTTCTCAGTAAAGTGTTGTGCGTTGGCTCTGCTACTCTAGGGTCTGCGTTTTGAAGCTAACTTGAACATTGGGAATCTCTCTTAGGTCTAGGGTCATTGCTTGCAGAAACTCAAAATGTTTTCTATAGAATGTGTATTGTATGAGGGATGCGGGAGGAGCCCAAAGTTGTGGCTGCCATAAGGCCATATTCAGGGTCTCTAATCAGAAACTGTGGTTTAGCTAGACTAGGTAGGGCCTTGGAGGAGCATCTACATAGTATGCAGCATGTAGGCTGTCTTCTCAATCAACCCCTTTGGAGTGGCAGGTCCGAGCTTAGCCTGCCCACCCATCTCGTTGCTGCTGCCTCCAGGGCTATAAATGGCCAGGCCATCTTGGTAGCTATGCTAATTTTAGCTGAGGGTGGCTCCCGGAACTGGGCTGGGGCCAAGAGCAGGTGGGTGGAGCTTGGTTGAAGCTAATACCAGGGGCTAGAGAAAGGGACACACTAATCCCAGGGCAGCCTGGACGTACTTATTTCCAGGCCTCAGCTTTGACAATCACCTTTAGCTAGGTTAATTGATTGAGCAAACATTGAACAGTGCCAGCTCGTGTGCTATTTATTCAACAAGTATTTGAGTGACTGCTCTGGGTCACTTACTATGTATGCTTTCTGTGAGGATTTAAGAATGAATGAAAGAGATGTTTTCTTTCCTCACAGAAGTTATACTCTTCTTGGGGTGATAGTTAATAAACACATAAATATATTCTCTTGTGGCAAGTGATATGGAGGAAAATAGAAATAAGGTGCTCAGGGGGATGAGAAAGGACTAGAAATACAGTTAAACCTGGGACCCACTGTCTAGTAGGATAGAATGATACAGTAATATCAACAGTAATGATAGCAATTATTATAAGCCTTTGCTTTCATTATTTATTACAACTATTCTCTGATAAATACTATCCTCATTTTATAGATCAGAAAATTACATCAGAGGGGTTAAATAACTTGCTCAGTGATATACAGATAGTAAAGAGAACCAGAATTTGAATTCAGGAATTCTGATTCTTCTACGTCAGCTACTAAGTTATATATTCTTTCAAAATGTCATGAGACGGGGGGAAAGGGAGAGAAAGAGAAAGAGAGAACATGTATACAGAAGGAAAGATACGGGAAGCCCAGGGGACCAGGTGACTAACCTTGCCTGGGAAAGCTGGGGGAGGCTTTACAATTTTCCCCATAGATTTTATCAGATTTTGGGGAGATAAAAAGTGGTTATTTAATTCAAAAGTTAAGAGATGGAAATATCAATTAGTTCAACCTACTTGTTTTTATATATGAGGAAACTGATACCCAGAGAGGCATTAAATAGAAGCTTCATGGTAGGTTATTGGTAGATCCTGGATTAGTTATTTAGTATATAAATCATGGCCTTGAGCTCACTGTGTAACTGAGGATGACCTTAGCTTCTGATTTTGCTGCCTCTACTTCCCAAGTGCTATGATTATAGGTATAATTGTGCCATAATACCTGGCTTTATTTAGGTACTATTAAATACTAAAAATGAGCCGGGTATGGTGGCACTTGTCTCTAATTCCAGCACTAGGAGGCAGAGGCAGGGGAGCTCTGTGAGTTTTATAGTTGAATTCCAGGACAGCTGGGACTAGAGGGAGGCCCTGTCTCAAAAAAAAAAATAAAAACAAACAAACAAAATGACCCAAAAAATCCCAACCCTCCCACAGAAAACCCAAACCAAACCAAAACAAAATACAGCAAAATGCACAGACTTAATGAAGTGCAAATTCCAACAATATGGAGAGTGTAGGCTAAAGAAGAGAGAGCTATATAGGTTGGACCAGGTTCTAAG